ACCCCTTGAGTGCATTACAACAATTGAAATTGCCGGGGCTGCTACCCAGACGGCGGATGCGTGGGCTTATGCAGGATTAGAGCGGAAAAATTGTTGCCAATGATACCATAAAGGTATTTAATTTAAAATGAAAAAAAATTTGTATAAATCTTTAACTTAAAATAAGTATATAAGCTTATAATTAGAGACTTTAACATTGCAATTTAGTTTCGAATAGGTATTGCACAGTTTATATTCGGTATTTTTCAGTTAGGACCCCATTGTAGTCGGTTGTCAGCAAACCAGGTTGAGGCTGCTGATAGGTGGGAGTGCGTAGGTTGGGCTTATGGGTCGCTGGCCCTTTTTTGTGCGCATGCAGCATTATTGTGGGCTCGTGCATGAGTCGTGTCGCGTCCCCCACTCATCAGCCATCCATTACAGCGCCCTCGACAAGTGTGTCAGGTCCAAATGACAGTCGGCGCTTGTTTCATGTCGCACAAGTTCAAAATCAACTCTTCTTGGCCGCCTTTTTGGGCCGCAGTCTGGGACAGTTTCCTCATCAGCTGGGGCGACTTTAACAAAAAATATTCCCAAATCGGATTTAAGCTAATTTCTGCCAGAACCCCTGCCGCTCTCCGCTTAGTAAATGCAACAAATGGCTATAAATAAACTAAACCCATGACCCCATTAAAAAATCAGAACAAAACTTGAGTAAATAAACCAAACAACTTTTCCTGGGCAACGAAAAAAGTTGAGGAAATAAACTACGAGCGAACTGCACTCAACTTGTAATGAAGTTTCAATATACAAATCAATAAGGGCCAAACAGGCGGACCAGGGCGGGCTCCTCAAGCTCCAGAGGCTGGAGGATTGGCACTCGGAAAACACGAACAAAAACCAAACAACCTCAACTGCAGCCGACGGAGCAACAATCTGTGGAGATGCATAGACGAGGCCCACTGATGTTTGGGTCAGTTGCAAACTTTTTAGACCCGTTATTTCCGCAGACGGGAAATCAGGAGCGTGGAGAGGTGCTGGTTTTATGGTCAGCGTCGGCAGGGAAAAGTTAATGATGTCACTTCCATTTTGGTTCGAAGACCCAAGACCGAAGACGGAGCCTGGAAGACATCCAGCCAGGATGTGAGCTGAGGCAAACCAAGGTGGAACGTGTGAAAAATACGAAACTATTAAACAACCGCCGGGCTCAGAGCCACTGGCACTGAAATCGTTTAAGCCACAGGAATAGGGTATAAGACCAACATGATTGCAGGGCTCATCTGATTGGTTGCACTGCGGAAATGGGGATTTTCAATATAAAAATACTTCTTCATAAATATATATAGAAGTAAGTATAAAATTACAATTTTCCTTGCCTGCTATCTTCATAGTCTTGCCTTCACTTCCTTATTTTCATATTTTTCCAGTTGTTCGTGGCAACTGCTCGATCCCTTGGGATGGCTTTATAATCTGGCTCGAGCATTTGGCTAATTGTAAGCGTTTAAATACGAAAACAATTACATCACTCAAACTTGAAGTGAGGGATGGGCCAAGGAGGTGGATAAGAAACACCAATAATCGCGTGGCGCACTTAGACAAAATGCGAGCAATTAAATCTTTAATTCGCGCTTAAAAGCTGCTTTCCCCCCCCCCAAAAAAAATCACCCGCCAGTCATTTTACCCCCGTTTTCTGCAGGGGTTCCCAACTAATTATAAAACGGATGCGCCTCATTTTGACCAAAACCCCCAAAGGGGCTCCGTCTCCAGTTTATGGGAGCGCTTTGTTTAAGGCCGCAAGTCCCAACCGAAAAAGGGACAGATAAATGCGACGGTCTGCTCCTAAAATAACAGTATTTTGCATAATTGTTGACCCAGAAAGTCCGAAAAGAAAGCAACAGCAACAAAACAGTGGAACTGCGCGCTGCAAGGAATGTAATTTCTTTTTCGTTTTCTTATTTTCCCCGGGCATTTGCCACAGCCTTTTCCCGCGGCGTCGCTGTGGGAACCGCCAGTGATTTGTAATTAGGAAACGGCCGCCAACTGTCGCCTTGGTTTTGGCCTGGCTCGGACGCAGCCACGCCCCATTTGCACCGCAACGGAGGCGGCTGCTGGAGGCATTAGCGAACGTTAAATACCCAAGTGCCATCTGCTGAAAAAAGGTGACCGGCTAAAATTAAATGAATGAAAAGTGCTAGAAGAAAAGTGTAAAGCAATGACGGCGACGCCTGGCGCCTCCCCTCCATCTCTCTCTCCAATTTTCGCAGTTTGCGGCTTGGCGGAAAATGTGAAGGAAAAACGGATAAAAGTCGGGTTGGGGTGGGGCGCTCGCAGAGCTGTGGCAAAGATTCCACCCAGTTTGTGTGCGTAGTTGGCGAAAGTTTATTAAACATTTAAATTCACTCATTTCGTTTTGGCGACTGCTCCTTTTTCTTTCGGCAGGGGAAATGACCAAAATTGAAATTATTTCATGTCCGGTGTCACCATTTTGGACTTCCGGTTCGGGTCCCAGTTTTGGGAATCGGCAGGCACCCTTTTCCTTACAAATAAATCCACTGATGCAGAACTTTTGAAACTTCATTTTCGGCGGAAATTTATAATTTTTGGGCCAGAGACCTTGGCAGGTCCTTATTTACTCGTGTCCTGTTCGCTTCCGTTGTCCCCTGGGATACTTTTCTGTCTTTTTGGTCCAGAAGAAATGTTCCTTTTCTTTCTGCATAATACCGAAAAGTATATTATAGAGATGTTGAAAAAGAATTAAGAGTCTTGATTTATGATGCGAACTCTCTAATAAATATGTATAAAGATCTATTTTGTTAGTGAACGAAAAATTGTTTAATATTAAATATTTATTTATTGCTGAAATTAGAAAATTATTACTTAATAACATTAAGAGGTGCAAAAAAATTATTTTCTTCTTTTTAAAGGAATTACTTGAATGTTCTTTTTAATACACCAATGGTTTTAGCTTGTTGCCTTGCTAATTAATTTATATTCCTGTCTTACTAATCTGAGAAAGCCTTGAACAGAAAACTATTCTTTGAATTGAATTTACGAAAAATGCATTTCAGAACATATTATAGGAGAAATGCCAACGATACATTATAAAGCTCCTTGGCTATAAACCTCAGGTTGTAATCGATCCAAATCTTAGAGCACCAAGTCCTGAAAGCATATTAACAAATTTTTGGCAAATGACCAACAGAGCCGCGGGGCTAAAGGAAACGCAGGATTAGAAAATATCCTTGTCGGTAATAAAATCACTTTTAAGCATAATCCTTTGCCAGCGCAAATCCCATTCAAACCGCTCGGCTTGGCTTTGATTCCAAAAGCCCCGAAAACTTTTGAGCCCTCAGATTGAAAGGCGTTTTTGTTGTCAGCCACTGTGTGTGTGTGTGTGAGTGGCGGGTTGAAAGGTTCTTTTGGCATTAGCCACCCACCTTTGCTCCTTGAGCCACCTTTCAATGCTTCACCTTGCGAAGAGAGCACCCATAATAGACGCCGCACACACACAAACACTCGCCCAGTCGCATTCAGGTGCACACTTATTAGAGGAAAAGCAGGTGAAACTCATCCTTGAGGCGGTGACGTTGCACTCGGAAGTCAGTCCGTACTTGCAGCCCAGAAAATGGCAATAATGAAATCAAAATGTGAATGCCCTTTGCATTTCCTACTTGCAGTTTGACCCTGTTACGAGATGCACTGAAAGAAATTAAGAGCATTTTAAACATAATATACCCGAATTAAGCAAATTGATTTGATAAGATTAATTTACAAATATGAAGGTAAAAATTGATTTATTCTTTCCATATATTAAGAGGTTAAATGGGTTGTTTAAAAGATTTAATTTAATGACGAAAAGTCTAGATTTTACCTTTCATTTTCAACGTACAGCTTGTGCCTGGTCAGCCTGGAGGGACATTCTTTTAGCTGGCACACCCACTCTTTATGCCATTCCTTGAATAAGCTCTCATTAGTTCCCTTTTCGAGAATTATGCGGCTTGGCTGCAGCATAAAATTTGCATTTGAATGCAGCATTCGAAAGTTGAGACAAATCCTTTGGGGGAATTCCCGCTAAACTGGGTCTACTTTTGTGTGTTGTTAGTAATGGGCAGTAGGTCAAAATGCTTATTCTCATTATCATACTTGAAGAATGCATAAGTACATAGAGAGAATTCTTAATATTTTACTTAACCAGAAATAAATTAATAATTCTTGAAGATATTAATATAATCTGGTTTGAAATTATCATCAAATTAGATTCCCGAACCTTGAACAGATTTGCTGCATTTCCTTAAATAAGTTACTGAAAGTTTAAGGACAAAAATAAGAAGTTATTTGTACTTACTAATAAACCTTTAACTGTAGCACTTTCTTTGATACCAAAGATGCTTTTTTCGCTTAGGGTTACCTTCGTTTTCATGTCGCCTAAATTTCCCAGTCATCTCTTTTGCGGCACATTTCCATTTAATTAATGCCCTCAGCTTTTAGTCTGGGACCATGGCAGGGATTTCTTTCATTTCGATTCCCCTCATTGTTCCATACTTTGATTTGTTGTCCAGACACAATGAGAGGACTCGGTGGGGTCCTAATGGAAATTCGCAAATCAAATCCCTCAATCCTTTCAGTCACGTTTGTCCTTGATTTTCTGCCTGAAATCAGACAATACAGTCGACCTTGACCCGATGTCCATTGTCGACCTCTGTTTACTTTCCTCTGCTGGATAAATTTGATACTATTGCATCCATCCCAGTGCCGGAAGTTTGGACTTTAGCCTTAGAATGCTTAGATTGATTTGATTTTAATTAAAGAAGAGGTAATTTTCGCCAATATATTGAACAGTAAACCAAAAAAGAATGCTATAAAAGATTAGCTATCCCCTCTATACAATAGCGACATATACATAATTTATTCCAATTTTAAACTTACCATAAGATCTAGCACTTGTTACCAAAACCAATGAAAAGACCTTGTTAAGTTATTCAATTTTATTATTTTATTGTATGTAATTCAATAAATTTGTCAGTTAAAGTTCACATAGTTCTTAGATTCGTTTACATATGTATGTGTAAGTATTCTCTTTCGTTATTAGTCGGTACTTAACAATAAACTTTTGCTATATCATGAGTACACGAGAGTTCGAGTGTCGACTGTCTTTAAAATGTATTCTCCGACTTGGAGGGGTTTTCTCCATTTTTCGTGTTATGCGTTTTTTATTTACATTTAGTTGGGGGTGTTGAAAATTACACGTATGTATGTATGTTATGTATGCCGAGCTATACGTTAATCGAGCTGATGAAAAACACTTAAGAGCTTAGAAATGTATTTTGATTTCGATTTTAATAGTACTTTCTGTGGTCTTATATGCCGCTTAAATCTAACAAACTTTCATTGTTCAACATTCAGTTTTATGGTATGCTTTTGAGTGTGGTGTCCAACGTTGGGTCGTTGGGTGGCTTTTTGGCGGGGAAATTAAAGGCTAAAAGTTAAGTTTTAATGCGCATAAAGTATGGGGAATGCAGGGGAAGAATCTTGTTGGGTGATTCAAAGGCGGTTAGCCGCAGACCGCAAGCATTTGATGCATGCCAGCGGGAATGTGTTAATTGTCCACACCCGTGGATGGAATTCCCGGTTAAATTAACCCGACCCCGACGCTCCCACCGCCTGAAATATTGACCGCAGGTATATTTATTTTCGCGGCTCTCCGTCTCGCCCAATGGCAAAGTGTGTGTTTGCTCACCTCACAGCTGCTTGCGGTTAGCTTGGGCTTCTGTCAGGGATCAATTCGTTAAGCGCCAAAAGGCGCGAGCACATCGAGTATACGCCGGGTGTGACAGGCGGTGCGACCACCTTGGGACAATCGCACATAATTAATGCCGCTTTGATGGCATTGTTTCACTCGGAGTGGTGGCGAGTGCCTGTGCGTGGCATGCACCTAATTGCAATTAAGTTGACGTTGCAGCAGCCACCATTTCCACGCAGAGACATCTTTAATTAATTTCCGACGATTTTTATAGGATTTGCCGAGGCGGCAGGGAGTGTGTGTGTTCGTTTGGGAGTGTGTGTAATTAAAAAGGACGTTAAGTGGATAAATAAATACGAGACGGGCCTGCGGGTTCGGGCCGCACACGATGTTTACATTTTGTCCGTTTGATTTCATTTTACTTATTTTCTTTGACTGCATTTGTTTTCCTCGCCTGTTGTGTATTTATTTATTTATTTATGTATTCATTTATATATATTTATTTATTTGTATCGTTTAAATGCAATTCATTAGTGTTTGGAATACGTCTCTGCTTGGGCTCTGCCATCTATATTATTTGTATATTCAATTAATTTACATTTTTGTCGAACAGTTTCGCAATAGAGTTATATACAGTTTGCGAGTCAGTCCGCCGCTTCACACAATAAATGTACTTTCGTTATCAATTAAATTGTTTTTGTTTTTCGTTTTTGTTTTTGTGTCGCATTGTTTTACGTGTTGTTACGTTCTGTGTCGGCTGTCCATTTCGATCAATGCCTATGTATTTGCTATAATTTTTTCATCCCATGCAATTATTTATTTTATGCACTTTGCTTTTTCCCGCATGTTTCGAGCTTGTTCGTGAGATAAGAGCACATAAAATAGAGTTCCATAAATTGGCTATGCAAATGTTTACGATGTCGCACACACACACACATATCGGACAGTTCATAGTTGTGGGTGTGCCGTGTGTAATAGATGGATAATGTTAAATAAACTCCTTGGAAAGCATATAGACTTCTCTGATCCTTGGGACGGCCTATTCCTGGGTATACAATTTTTAGAGAGGAAAGTTCTAGCTTGAATCGAACTCTAGTAGTATTTGCTAAAAATAATAAATATTCTAGAAATGTCCGGCATCAGGAGTGAGAGAGAAAGGGAAACTGTGCAATAGATTTGCCTAATTGAAAAGTTCACATAGGAGGAGGGAGATGGCAAATGTTGTTCCAGACTCCAATTGCCATGCAAATGCATTCGAGTTGTTTGGTTTTCTACTTTTTTTTTTTCAAAATGCGTCTGTTTGATGGCAATCGTTCCTCCTGTCCCGCCACACTCCCCGATTCACTCATCCGACCTGAATGGGTTCAGGATATCGATGCAATTTCACATCGGACTGCATAAATATTTACGGTTATGCATTTATGCAAACTTTCTCGGTATTTGCCACAAAACAAAGCTCCCCGTAACCGATACCGAAACCGAACCGAAACCGAAAAACCAAAACCAGAACGGCACAACAGAAATCAGTTAGTAGGAATCTGCCTAAGACTAGGGGCTTACAAACTAGTTCGCTTAGAGCCGGTAGAACTTACGATTAGCTGGGTTTTAGGGGGTTAAGGTTTCTAGGATCAAGGTTTTGGGGCAAGGGGTTATCGGGTCACGGGTCACGGGTCTCCGGTCTCCGGTCTCGTAACTGCCAGCGGTAATCCAGGGATTATGGACTTATCCTCTATACGTATTGGTTATTAGTTAGTGGATAAAATCAACTAGCTTACAACATGCACTCGATTATTACGTTTACTCCATTTCGTCTCCTCTCCTCCGCTCGCTATGTGTGTGTGTTTATCTATCAAATTTATTTGGTTTTATACTTTATCCGTTGGCAGAGTTGTGGGTTCCCCATATTCTCCTCACTTCTGAGTAGTAGCTGCTGCTGTCCTGGCCTTCAGTTCGGCTTGGGAGCCGTGACATGTCATGTGCGATGTCCCACTCCGATGATGATGACGCCGAATAGGAGGGCCAGGATGCTGAGGGCATAGGCCCGGGTGGTGGCTGCCGAAGAGGTGACCGCCGAGGCCGATGATTCGCCTAGGAGAATTCAGAATAAGAAATCAAATATCTTTTCTCTTATTGCTACACTGCACGGGAGAAAAATTAGTCTTGATTATACTGAAAAATTCAGAGTAAATCTCGACTACAAGAGCATTTCGTGTTCTCACATTTTTTTTCCCAGTGCACAAATTTTGGCTTCGAAACTCACCATTTATTATGTTCAGCGTTACGGTCGCACTGGGGCTATTCGACGGGCTACATGTGTAATTGCCAGTATCGCGCTTCTTGGCCGACTCGATGATTAATGAGCCAATCTGCAGCAGGGGAAAAGGACACAAAAACATACACACACATACAGTTACAAAGTGTCGGATTCAAGTGCCCAAGGAAAAGTTGGGAAAGGAAAGATAAACACAGGCAGTTTTCATTCGGACATGGGCACACGTATTCCAAATATTTGGCATGCGCCGGAACAGACTTTGCGGGCCTTGGCACTGGGGGGCAAAAAGTTATGGCCAAGGCAATTAGGCGAAATGCGACAAAACTGAAACTTTTGCGAAACAATATTATAATATTCGTTGTTTTTTTGTGCCTGGTAGCAGAATGTAGCAGGAGCCAAGAAGCCATTGGAAATTGAGAGTAATTAAATTAAAATCAGCAAGGGAGTCTTTGTGCTCTGGCTAAATGGAGCCGGGAGCGAGGCTTTTCAAGTTACAGATGGCGAAAAAATTAAAAGAAAGCATTATTAAAGTTATTGCTCATACAAATTACTAAAGGAAAAGCCAAAGGAAATTCAAGATATGTTGCATATTTGAACTGAAGCAGAACTATATTTAGTTTGTCACAATAGTTGCATCTGTAGCACTTGATATCATTTTAAATTATAATATTTAAGTCATTAAAAATGTATTAAAAATTGCCAGGATAACAGCACTACTTTAAAAAGATTCTAAGCAGTATTAGAGAAGGTTAACTCCTATTCTGCTAAGTGTACTCACCGTGCTTTGGCCATCGCCGGAGGCCTCCGGCAGGTTAGGATCCAGCTGCGTGCGATGGCGGCGGGAGTCGGCCGCCAGCTGCTCGGCACCGTGGTACCACATGATGAAAGTGGGCGGCTCCAGGGCGCCGCGGACGATGCAGCGGAGCACCACGTTGCTTCCCGCCTTCACGTAGCGGTCCGGCTCGCCCAGGATCTCTGTTCGGGGAACTGGTGGATACAACGAGAAAACAGAGAGAACGAATGAGCGGGTGGGGCAGAAATGGAAGTGGCAAATTCGGGGCTCCCAAATTGTGTCATTTCGCTAATCTATTGAATTAACAGCTGCGAGTCACGTCGCACACGTAAATCTGGCTGTGGCAGGGCGCCACTTCACCTCCGCTCCACGGTTCCACGGCTACCCGTCTGAGCCCTGAAGAAAATCCACTTTTCAATTTTTCACTTACTGACTCTGGCATGAACTACCCCCGGATGTCCCTTCGGGGAGACCCCCCCGCCTTCGGGGGTGATTTTTGGCCAAAAGACACGCACATGCATAACAAACTAAGAGTTGTGTCAAACAAAAATAGAAGAAGAAATGTAGCAGCAAAAAAGGCGGCGAATAAAAAGCACACAAAACGAACAAGTTGGAAATGTTGGCGCATACATTTTCACACGACCTTCCACCGTACCACAACCCACTCCTTCACATCCTGGAACTGGGCGTCTTCATTTGCTTGGCCAACGTGCAGCGACGTGAGCTTTGAAATTTGACAAAATCACGTATACGCCGAGTTTTCACTGCTGTTACACAAAAATGTGCAAAATGAGTGCGCCGAGAATTTACACAAAAAACCAGGACTATGCCCAAGAGAGTATCCAGCGAGTTAGATCTAGATACAGTAGACAGCCTTTTTACAACGTTTAAGAGCATATTAAATAGGAAATTAAGAGCGTATTGGGGAAGACAAAAATAAATGCAAAATAATTTCGAAATGGGTTTGAATTAAATATAGATAATTGAGGCTAAAGATTGAATATAAGCTATTCAAACTCTCCTTGTTTAAATATTTAATCTAACAACAAATAATATTCGTAAAGTGATGTGAAAGTTCTGACTTTTTATTTGGAAAACATGGCAAATATCACCATTATTTTACCCATAGCTGTACCTTTGAGTGGGGCATGTATCGGCGTCTGTACATGCGAAAATATGAATGTGTGCAGTTGGGGAACACGCGCCATGCTCTGGTTTGACACCAAACTGTGTCAGCTTGTCAAAATCGTCATGTTGTTGCATGTTAGTTTTCCAGCTGCTTGACTGGAGATTCGCGACACAGCAGCATAAAAAAAAAAAAAAAACACCAGCAAAATGGTAAAAATATATGGCAGCTGAAGCGGCAGCAACAGCAGCAAGTGCAATGTTATTAGCAAACACTCTACTTTATCACCCACGCAGCTTGGCTCTGGGGATTCCCCCGCTTCCTGTGGATGAGTAATTTTCGAGGCAGCAAAACATGAAATGAAAATTTCGCAAATTGCGACACGCATATGCTCCTAATTAAGTTTTCGTAGATGGGGGCTTTGGGGTAATTAGAACTTTCTGTTTAAAATTCATTTAGCCAAGTTCATTCTAACTTTAAGGGAACCACAGGGGACTACACAGACATTTTTAAGTTCTGCTTTCGCAGGAATAAAGAAAACCAATGTCCCTTGCCAATCTGAATGGTAGAAAAGTCAGGTATGTATTTCTAAAGACACATTTTCCAATTAATTTAATTAACATGGTCGATAGCCAAACTATTATGCTGAACCTTTAGAAATATTATTGGCATGCTGGTGAAAGCGACCCCGAATGAAAACCGCAGAAGCCCGAGAACTTTGCAAAGTTTTGACCGCACTTTCAGCTAATTCCCGAGCACAAAGGGAATGCCGCCCGCCGAGGGAATGGACTTGGTTAAGAGTGTCAAGCGAATTGCAGCAACTTAAATTAATTGAGTTTATGGCGAAATGCTTTTAGGGAAATTAGTCGGGGGAGGTGCGCAGACATCACAGGGATATTGTCACTTCTGATGGGTGGGATAAGCCGCTCTCCCGAGCTATAAGCAAAGGAAAACCCGAAAGAAATCCCCGAAATTGGCTTTGGCCATACGAGATTAGCAGCAAATTAAATAAGCAGACCGAGCCAGCCAGGAATGAATGAGAGAACTGAAGCCCGGCGGATGAGATGAGCTGGGCAGAAAGCGAATCTCATAAAACCAAATCTAGTTTGTCGTTCAATGATGCAGAAAAAAATATATTCATTCATTCGGCATTCATGTGTGTGTGGGCGGGGTCACTGTGGGAGTGCAAGTGTTTTTCCGCTGGAAAATCTACCATGGTATCCTATCCTGTAATAAAGATAAATCTGCCAAGTTAACCGGCGAAAGTTTAAAAGATTATTACGAACATTTTCGACTAAGCAGACTTGATGGTTTTACTTTTCTTTGGCTCCATTGTGCTGCCCATTTCGGTGACCTAGAAACTTGAGTAAATGAACCAAAACCAAAGAAACTGACATTTTAACCAGCAACAAAGCAAACAAGCATTCAGCTTCCAAACCCCACCCACCGCTAACATAACAAATTGACCGAAAACTACGAGCCTATTACCCCAACTTTGGCTCCAGAACCGGATCTTGCCCAGAAATCAAGCAGCAGGCTGGCAAAGGCCACAGCCTCAACATAAAACCCATTGCCAAAGACTCGGAATCGAATTCAAAAGGGGGGTTCTGGGTTGATCCTGGGTGGACTCTGCCTCGTTGGGTGGCCCAAAAATCGACAACATGCAAAGGGAGTTTTGCCCGTTTGCACAGACAAAACGATGCAATAAATACAAATTACATGGCAAAGGCACAAAATCAGCCAAGCAGCGCGACACCAAGAGGAGGGTGTGGGTGAAACTGCTCCTCCTGCTGCTCCTCCTCCTCCTATTGGGGAAAAGCGAGTGCGAAAAACTACAAAGGGGTGGCGGTGAATAGGTGCTGCCGATAATGGTTATGGCCGGTCGAATTGGTAGAAAAGGAGCAGGCAAAACACTGTAGGACAGAACAGAAGAGGAACAGGAACCGGAAGGACCACGCACAGCCGAATTCGACTTCAAACAAACAAAAGGCCGATTGGACCGTTCCTGGGGATGTGGAAATGGCAATGGAAATGGATGAAGGCCAAACGACTGCAAATAATGGCCGAGCAGACAGAGATGGCAGATCGGGGTGAGAGAGCGAGAGACAGATACATAGATGAATCCCTGCCGGGCATGAATAGAAATCCTTTATGCTTAAACTTGTCGTTAGATTAACGCAAATGTGGCCGCGCATACAAAATTCAGCTGGGCGAATATTTTTTTTGGCTCCAGATGGATACCTGTTGGGTGCCACGCCCTAAAGCTTTTCTTACGAATTTTCCAAAAGAACACCTCAACAAAAAATGTGAATTAAATAAGGAAAAATGGAGTTACTTAACAAAGTTATCAAATTTTAAAATATATGATAAAGCGTATATAACATTATTTAATTTTTCCGAACGTACATTTATTGTTTTAAGATTTATAATTAAATTAAGACTTCATCCAACTCTTGACTTTTTTTTAAGTTTAGAACATTTAGACGATTTTATTTTAGGTGTACACGCACACATGTGCCTTTGGTATACATGCGCAAGTGTTTAGCATACAAATTAGCTGAGCCGGAAATGCGAAAATCACTTTTTGGCAACACCATTATCCAGTCTATTGCCCTTGCCCTGTTCTTTTTACTCCAGCTTTTGCCGCAACTCAGCGTGTGTCCTTATTTTTTTTGTCGAAAGCCAGGCAGTCAGCCTCCTTGGGTTGGATCTCCATAAAACCAAAGTGTTAGTTGGATAAAAGAAAATTCAATTTGTTGGCTTCAAATGCAAATTGACTTTTTACTTTCACTGCTTTGCGCCCAGCTATGCGCTCCCGTTGCTATCTGAGAGCGAGTAAATTGACCTTAAATTGTCAAGGATATCCAAACGAGGCTATAATTCCCGGCCAGAGTTGTGCCTTTTTGCCCCAAAGGAATGTCGGCGTGAAACAAAGCTCAACCGCAAAACGGACAGATAGCCTGGGAAAGTTGCAACAGCAATCCATTCGAATGAATGCATCCGTGTCATAGATACAATTCGGAACCCAATACGAGTAGACAAAAAATGTTCACACTGATTTCAGTGTGTCCTGGCCCGGAGCTATGCGGTTGTTATTGTGGAGTGCAGATAAATATATGTGCGCCATTTCATATCAATTACAGGACCACCCGGCACATGCACCGCTGCCCCCAACTGACATTTACATTGTTCATTTGGCCTGCCGCTGCTGCTGCTGCTGTTGCCTCTCCTTCCGGTATGCAAACATGAAATTTAATTAACTTTTTACCAGAGCGAGAGCCAGAGTCAGAGTCAGAGAGCCCGAACCGAAAACCAGAATCCAGCACGTAAAAGTTTTCTCGTTAAAAAACTTGACCGACCAAAGAAATGCTCCGTCTGTTTTCAGGACGAGTGTGTGTTTCCTCACCCATTTTTTTCGTCCTGTTTGCTTCTTTTGAGCATTTCAATGGGCAATGGTCAGCAGCCGCAATTTGAATGCAATTTAGTGAGTAATTTGAAATGCAGCAGCCGCACGGAACATGCAAGTATCTCGGCCTCTCGGCCCATGTGTGGCCATGCCCTTTGTGAGAGGGCTGCAAAGTTTTCGCATTTGCGGCCGCTTGACCTTCGCCCTCCGCCCACAATTACACACTCCAACTCACTCGGAGAGCACCCGGGTCTGGCCACAAGCTCATATTCATAACCCAAAGTACAAGTATTTCGTTTTCATGTTCATGTCCATGTTCATGGCCTCGTGCCCATGGCCGTGACTTACCCACAACTTGCAGCTGGACACGTGCACTGACTTTCGGCTCCGTGGACACCTGACACTCGTAGGATCCAGCATCGCGGGCCTGGACGTACTTGATCTGCAGCGTCCAGTACTTTTCCGGCTGCTTGATGGCCAGGAATCGCTGGTCGGCTATGAAGACGGCTCTGGAAAAGAGAAAAAATACGTCATTAGTATATGGCTTTTTAAGAAAGTTAGTCAGATCTTGCAAACGCAGTGAAGCACTCATTTCCGACCCTATAGACCATATATATTATTGATCAGCATCGAAAGCAGAATCAATCTAGCCATGTCTGGTCAAAAAACAATATTAAAATTTTTTTCAAATTTGCAAAATTTTATAAGGGGTTACATCATTAAAATTGCCAAATTTTGTCAAGAAACGAAATTTTTTAAATTTGGAAACTGAGTATGCAGCTTTGTTAATCTACCAAAAACTAGCATAGAACAGCTTTCCGAATTAAAATTAATTATTTTTTGACTTAGTTATGAGTTTTTTTAAACTATGATTTTTGGGAAAAATTGTCTGTTTCTATACCTATTTGCAGGTTTTTATGATTTTAGTCAAAAACTGACAACAGCATCAACAAACTCAGTATGCGAATTTGTTAGTGCAAAAAAACTAGCACATATCAGCTTTCCGAATTAAAATTAATCCAATTTCGGTTTAATTATGATGTCCGAAAAACTTTGATTCTATTTTAAAAATTGAATGTTTTTATACCTTTCTGAAGAATATGATTTAAGTCAGAAGCTTGAAACGCAGTGAAGGAGTCATTTCCGACCCTATAAACCATATATATTCTTGATCAGCATCAAAAGCTGAATCAAACTAGCCATGTCCGGCCGAAAAATAGAATTTTGAAATTTTTTCGAAAATTGAAATTTTTATTAAAATTGTCAAAATTTGACATAAAATTGAATTTTTTAAATTTGAAAACCCAGTATGCAGATTTGTTAATCTAGTAAAAAATAGCATAGAAGAGTTTTCCGAATTGAAATTATCTAATTTTTGGCTTATCTATGATGTTTAAAAAACACTGATTACTTAAAAAAAATGGCCTGTTTTTATACCTTTTTGACATTGTTTTATAATTTTATTCCTTTAGATAAATTGGCAGCAATTAACTAACAAACAGTTACAAGTTAACAACTAAAAGGTAACCGGCAAAGAAGGCACCATTTCAACTGACTTTAAGCGCTCCCATATTGCATAAATACTAAACAAACGAACAATGGCGGCAGGCCCACTTAGTCGGAGTCCTCGCTAAGTCCGCTACTAATGGCCACTCAAAAGACACTCAAAGTTATTTAGTTGCGGCATTTAAGCGGCAACTCAGAGGAAGAGAGGGCAGAGGGAGGGACTTGGCTACAATGTTGCGTGTTTGGGGCAGCATGCAAATGTTGTTGCTTTTGAGGGAGGGGCAGGGACAAGGAGGAACGCAGTACTAAAATAAGTTGCGTTTAATGTCATTGTTGCAATATTTTTGCTCCTTCTTCCTAGTTGCTAGCCCCAAACGCTGGCTCCCTTCGCTCGGTGGGATTGCCCTCTGCACTTTGCCTAAAGTGCAAAAATGCTTCCGTCATTTGGCTAAAATGCAGCCGAGGCTGCCGAGAAGCCAAGGAGAAGCCACGCCCACTGCACACATGCGTTGACATTGCTTATTATGCGCCCTAAAACCGACTCTTGACTTGGACCCACCCCATGGTCTACACCGCCTCACTAACAAGTTTTGATGCTAAACCCAGATTAGACCTTTGCGTTTTGCACTCGTAAAACTCGACATTTTATGACTTTTGCCATTTCCTCGGTGTCCGTGCTTTCCACCCTCTCCCTAAACTATACACCCCTCTCCGTATTCCTTATCAAGATTTTGTAGTTACTTTATAATTTTCATTTCATTTTAAAGTTTTCCCCGCAGCGCTTGACTTTTCCCGAACTCGCTTTTTTCGGCTCGGAGTCCTGCGTTGTCCCATAGTCGCCGTATATTTTTATACAACTCCTTTCGGCCTGTCCCCTATTTTGTGGCTTTCTCGTTGCTCAAGTGCTGCTGGGAAGTGACCCGATGCCGCATAAGTTTCCATCTGCAATTTATTGTTGGAAAAAAGGAAACTCGGTGCGCGCCGGTTTGCCTGGCTTTCCCTTTGAAAGGACCACTTGGATACTCCGGCTAGTTAGTTGGCTGCATGCAACAAATATTCGTTGAAGTGGCCTAATCAAATGGGTGATCCTATTTGGGCATTCTGGGTGGAGTTTAAGGGGGTTGCCCCTCGGACCCAAAAGAAAGGAATGTGCTGAGAGCAGCTTTTGGGTAAATCTTTTCTTCCAATTTAAAGATCATTCTTTAAGAGCTTTCTCAGCTTTAAATTCGAAAAGACTGTTCTTCCCTGAAGGTAAATAATTTCCGGAAAACTGCTGGCTAGGGTGTCCTTTTGCACCAGCCATCAAAGGAGTTTTTCACTTTAACCTCAGACGCACAAGTATGTGATGCAATGATTTCTCCCCTCGCCGGAGAATTTCATTTCCTACGCTCCGGTTATCTCATCAGGCGATGCCGTTGCAGCTTGTTGTGGTTGCCACTCGGAGAATCCCATTAAGAGGCAGCTCATCTCCTGCTGCACATGCAACTCCTGGGTGGGTGGGTTGGTGCGTGGGTGGCTCACGTGGTCTGTCTGTGGTGTCTCTCCAGATAAGAGATAACAAAGTAGCAGAGCAACACCTGGATGGGTAATTACCTGAACCGCCGCCCAAGGACTCTTTTCTCCGCCTTTTGGGACAAGTAATCCATTGTGGCAATTGGGAGGGGCCGAGAGGGAGAGATGGCTATAAATTGGGGGGAGCATGTGTCCAGTGGCAAACAAAGGGCGCCATTGCACGTGACATTTATATGATAGTGTAAACACATCATTTGCGCTATTATACAGCACACTCTATCCTGAAAGTTTTTGAAATCTATTCCCATTATGCTTGATATGCCGGGAAACTGCTGGCGAAGGACAAACAGTTGGGGCTCCTTTCGAGCGGGACAAAGAAAGAAAACTTTCTAGATAAATGTGACAGAAGACACTGCTCCAGTAGCAGGAAAGAACTCGCTCGCATCGACTCGCCTCGACTCGCCGCACACAATCATCTGGCGGCGGAAGCAGCAAATGCAGGAAGACTTGGCCCCAAGATGGGCGGAAAACTGGGGCAGGAGCCCGCTTTGGTTAGCACTGCAGGAAGCAATCAGTAAGGACACTATCTCGGCTAAATTTCAATGCTCGCCGCCCAGCAATGTTTGCCTGCAGCCAGCCAGTCATTCATTCCTGCCCAGCCATTCATCCTGGCTCTCGCAGAGTCCCTACCACACACTCCCTGGCGCGGTCCAGGACCCTCACACACTTACACACACACACATAAGCTAGCTACTCCGCAAGGACGACAAACAGGCTGGCTGTCTTATCTAATGTGAAAGGTTCATTGGTTTTACTTTTCTATCAAAGTAATAAGCTGGAAATGTTTGCCGTGCCACCCTGCAGCTCAATACGCCCCCAAATGGCAAACGTGGCTAAAACACAGGATGTGGGGGATGCACTGAGAGAAATATCCCTAAGATGATATAAGCAAATAGAATTTTTAAACATTAATTAGTTGACATCTAAGAAATACTAAGTATTCCATGTAGAATACTGATACTTCCGAAGCAATATAAGTTTAACTTATTACTATTTATGTTCTATATTCCTACTCGACATATCATAGTTTATTATTATTTAAATTTAAGAGTAATTCACAATTTTTTCTGTGTGCCTAGGAAGAGACAGAATGAGAAACAACAACATGCTGACTCGGAGACAGTTGGAAGCAAAGTTTTACTGGATTTAGAGGAAGGGAGAAAAAATGCAATGAAATTGCACACTTGCGTTTCCGCTTCGCCTGTCATACAAGGAACACGGCAGAAAGGACATTTCCACAATCAACATCCAGCATTCTGGCATTCACCGTAGAACGAACATCCACAAGCTGGAATCATTGATGACACACCTGCAACTCTTGCTCTAGGACACGCAGATTGGAATTGAAATGGCTCTTCGGATGTGCTCTTAATCAATTTTGTTCTAAATTGTCTTCGCCTCAATTGAATTTACAGAAATATGTATAAGGAGAAACAAAATGTCCACTATTTATCTAGCTTAGGACAAGGCTTTAAGTTGACCTGCAGGAAAGGTGTAATTTTGTACCAAAATGAAACTGAAATTGTCTGACAATAGGAATAAATAGATTCCATGCTACAAGCTTTTGGAAACTTAACTCCGAGGTTAAATGTGCTCTGCTTAGGTCAACGCCCATGCATGGGTCATTGATCTTTTTCATTTTGCTGTCATTAAATTCAGACTTTGTGGTCTCATTTTCACAACTCATAATATTATAATTGGCAAATATCATTACTGCTGAATGCCATTTATTATTTTCATGCATATGCCAGGAATGTCTCAGACACAGCGGCGGCCATCAGTAAATCACTTGCAAATGTATACACTTATGTAAACGCTTGAATACAAGAACGACAGTTGAAATTGCGCCTGTATCTCAGTAATTACGCAAATATTTATGCTCGTCTGTGAATTATTGTGTTTGTAGCACTTGTGCTGTCAATTAAGCCAAATAACAGCAGCAGATCCCCAAGGCAACGGGGAACGGACATCGATATTAACGACTCTGGACGGGACGAGGAAGAATTGATTTGTAATTGTCAGCAGAATCTCGTCCAGGGTCGCTCTCAAATGCCCGGAAATGAGTTTGTTAATTACCTGTCAACGGTCAAGATGTGTCCATCCCGCAGGCGGATCCAGGACACCGATTTGTTGCCCAGCTGCTTGACCTGTGGGAATAAGAGAGAAATATGAATGGATTATTGCAGCTGCGACTCTATAGATTTTACATTAATATAAAAATTAAATGGACTGTGTAATAAATTTGTGGTAAACAATGAACAAAAAAATCAGGTTGATTTTTTATATACAGTCGCAGGGTATTATCATTTCAGTCAGAAGCTGGCAACGAAGTAAAGGAGTCATTTCTGACCCTATAAACCATATATATTCTTGATCAGCATCAAAAACCAATTCGATATAGCTATGTCTGGTTAAAAAATAAAATTTTAAATTTTTTTCGAAATTTCAAATTTTTATAAGGGGTTGCATCATTAAAATTGACAAATTTTAACAATAAGATCAGCATCAAGAGCTGAATCAATCTTGCCAAGTCTGGCTAAAAATAAATTTTTTAAAAATTTTCAAAATTTGCAAAATTTTATAAAGGGGTTACATCATTTAAATGATCAAAAATCTTAAAATCTAAAATTTCTTAAAGTTTAAATTGAGTATGCAGGATAATAACCCTAACAAAATCAAACATAGGACTTCTTTCCGAATTTAAATTAATCCATTTTTGTCTTAGTGATGATATTTGAAAGCTTTGATTTAGCCAAATAAAATTATATAAAAACATCGAATTAATATATCTAGATTACACATAGTTTAGGCCATAAAGTCGATGATTGACAAATGTCAAATATATTTCTATTTGCAGTAAAAATATTAAACAAATAAAGAATATGACGAATGCCCGTGATAATTAATTTTTTGTGTTAGTAAACTGATTGAAAACTATTATCTTAGAATTCTACATATAGTAATTATCTAGACTGCTCACAGCTCCACCTGAATTTCCCTAAATGAAATTAAACCCAACTTTAACTATCACAGAGTCTTCGCTCCATTAACGATATGAATACTAAACTCCTGTGGATTTTGGCAGGTCTACGTGGGAGCTGTTCAACAAGTGGAAGAGAAATGTCACAGTGCCACCGCATAGACATACACACGAAAGTAAATTACTGCAGCCGGAATGGTGGGAGGATCGGGTTGGAGGATTGGAGGGAGTGGCTTCCCACAGAAACTACATTGAAATGTAATTAAATACCGAAATGAACATGAAGCCGGCAGACAGATAGATAGACAAACCCATGGCCGAATATACACACAGAGGCTCAGACGCAGAGGCATTCGAATGTTTCAGATAATATCGAAATGTGTCCAAAGTTAGTAAATCTAAAATGCATTTATAGGCGCCGCACAGGCAGCAGCTTCTCTGTTTGCATCGAAATGCTTTTGTCCGTTCGACACTCTAGGCCCCCTGATTCCGATTCGGGGCTTAGGTTTCGGTAGGAAGCACGAGTAGGGGATCCATTAAATGTTTAGCTGCTGTCACCGCCCTGTAATTCCGATGTAATGGTCTCATTAGGAGCTCGTTGCATGTGTCGCATTTAATTGGGCCTCGGTCCGGTCGCAGTCGGATTACTAATTTGGTTTTGTGGAAATTCCATTCCATTCCGAGATTGCATTCGATGGCATCGATATCGGGAATCAGTCGTCTTCCATTTAATTGAAGCCCGCATTCTCTGGCCGGAACAAAAGGTTAAGTTTCGACAATTACAAATAAGCTGCTGCTTGGAATATTTCAAATAAGCCATTTAGCCAAAAGGATGTGCTCAACCTGATGTCATAGTGAGGCCAATTTGAAAAGAACCGGTCCGAGGACCAATCATTGTCTGAGTCCTGTCGGTGTCCTTGTTCCTGGCTCCTTCTGTGTCGCCATCCCTCTCGGCTAAGAGGACTCACTCAACTGTGGCACTTAATGCAGCATTTGAACAGAGAATGGAATGAAAGGCGCCATGAGCACAGAGAATGGAGCACGGAGCATGGAGGACGGCCAAAGGAGCATCGAGCAAACTGGGCGTGTCATCCTCGACGGGCATAAAGTGTAACGCCAACGACGAGTAATTGACGAAAATTGAGATGCGAGCCTTATACTTTTCATTCCGGGATCGGCAGCTGACGGCTGGGCAGGTCGGAGCAGGCCGGCAAAGCTGTCTAGGCTGTCGCTGGCTGAACTCTGCGGAGGAGCACTTAATTGACCATGACAACAAGAAATTAACATTGCTCGGCTGGAAAATTACAGGACCGAGGCCGCCCGGCCACACCAGCATGCATTAAATATTTCAGCCGTCGCGATTAATGTTTTTTGTTCTTTGAGGGGAATTGAAGCTCCGTGGATTAATGTGTTCGGGGAATAAATATTCCTTTGAAAATATATCTTTGGGCCTACAACAAATGGTATACAATTAGATGGTGAAGTAGCTAAGATGACTTATAGCAGAACTTCTTAATAAATTGGTAGAGTCTTCTTTAGAATATTACAATCTTAGTCATATGTGTTTGTTTCATAAGATAATCTATGGCTGGCACAAAATAAAAAATTTTAGTTATAATCTATATTTTCCAAATGTCAAACTAAGACCAATAAACTCTGAGATAAATTCCACTACAATTTATTTTATTGTGTGACTTCCTGTCCCCCATAAATTTGAAATATTTTGTTTATTTTAACATACACGTATAGTTTGATAATATTTTTACCATTTACCATTGAGCTGCAAGCTATACGAGAACGTATTATTCAGCAGCTTTTAAAAACAATAAAGCTGTTCTATCCGGCAGACATTTACTTATGAATTTTAGGTTTACTTTTCGTATAAAAACTAAACAAATGGCTGAGGGACTATAAAATACGGTAATCCCTGGTTCAATGCTTAAATTGAATAAATACTAAATAATTAGCAGCGGCATTTCCATTGGCAATTGAGTCACGTAGCGCGGCTGACCTCGACACCAAAACGAGAAACTTGGCACCGATGCCGTAAAACTAATTTGTTGAAATTTAATTTTCAGTTTTCGTTTATGCTAAATAAAATATTTACAACTTGTAAGCAAACAATTTGCCTGGCTGCGTGCCACGGGCATTTCCCATTTTCCCCGCACACCTCGCCACGGCTTTCCCCCCCGGATTTTCCTGATGGCCTTTAAACACCTGCGCAAACAATGGAAAAGCGTGTGAGAAATCGCCCGAGAGAGTCTTGGCCACGTTTGTTTGGCATTTGTTTTTGAGCCTTGCGTTAAATACACAGGCTGCGGTCACACCTCGTCCTCGAGCGTCCTGCCCCTCTACGCTTGTGGTTCAGGGGGATCCAACAAATATTTACGCAATAAAATTTAATGTGTTTTCTATTAGGGCCCCGGCCAGGTCCAGGACCAGGTCACGCTGATGAGGCCAGCCACAACAACAATAATAATAATAATTACAAATAAAAACACGCACGCAACCCCACAAGCCAGCACGCAACTTTGTATGCGGATGTACAGGAGAACATCCTTAAAGGAAACCCCATTATGGAGTTACAATCTTTTATTGAAATTCTATTTTATTTAAGGGGCTAGTTAATTTAACTTGAATATGTATTGTTTTCTGAGCTAAAGAATAAAGCCAACCTTTTGGAGTAACACTGTGATAACGCGAGTAGCAAGGGAAAATTTAATTTAATTTAAAGCCACTTGTTAAAGTTAAAGCTCTTATTCCTCCTGATCTGAATATATATGCTTTTTTCACGGTTAATTTAGTTCAATTCTGATGGGTTTTCACTTTGCAAAGTTTCAGTAATGGAAGTTCTACTATAGCGCAGTAAAATGGGAAAATAAACCAGAAATTATGAATTTATTTTTCTGCTAGTTTAGCTTGTTTGGCTTGGCAAAGAGCGATGGTATCGGGATGAGGAGACTGGAAAGATGTGGATATGGAGAAGCACTCACCCGACAGGGCAGATACGCGTGTGTTCCTATCTGAGTGGTCACATTCGAGGTGGCATAGCCATCCAGATACGGCTCCACGAGGCCCGCCGTCGCCGAAAAGGCGGATGCCTCCGGCAGTAGCGAGGACACTTGAGCCAGACTGGCGAATGCGGTCGCCGATGATGGGTCGCCGCTCTCATCGGAACTGATGGCCGTGGATGCTGCCGATGACGCTGCCGTCCCAGATGCTCCACCTCCTCCTCCTCCTCCTCCTCCGGCCGCCTCCGCTGACGTCTGTGTGTGTGATGCTGAAATTGATTTGGGGCAGGCCCAGAGAAATGGTAGAAAAAGTAAGAGAAAAGTGGATTTCTTGTTAATCGAAATGACAATTTTGGGCTTCGATTTCGCCAAAGCACATGTCACGTACACGGCGCTACCGATGCGGTTGTTTAGGTTTGGGTTTGGGTTTGGGTTTGGGTTCAAAGCGAGGCATTGTGTACATCAGTTGATTGGGCATTAAAGCTGTTGGCAAACACCCGGCTTTAATTTGCATATATTTACTGCGTAACTTTGTTTATAATCGAATCTAAAGAGTAGTTATGATTTACTTTTCATATGAAGCTAAATTTCTGGTAAGCTGTCTAACAAGTTTTGTTTCATACATTGAAAGAATTGTTTTTAAAAAGTAATTGCTAGAAGTTTGTTCCCTTCCATTGTGTTTTCTTTTATTATTGAATGGTTGAAGGGATTTCCAAATTGCTAGGTTATTGCGCCGGTTCAATTTCCATGAAAAGTTCTGCATAAATATTAGTTGCTCAAAGGTGTGCGCATAACTCAACTGTGTGTAAAGTAACTTAAATTGAATATATATATATTTTTACCCAGATGTATCTTAACCTCACTGGTTTTACATAACAAAACTTAAGTTTAACCTAAAACCTAGTTGCTTAAAATTAATAATCCAAGGGGTATTAAAATCTAAAATAATCAATTCCTTAATGCTACTTGACAGAAGTTAGTTTTCAAGCATAAATAAAAAGTAAACATGTAGAATAAGCCATTGGCAGGACACCTTAATTTTCCCTCAATTTGTGCCTGTCGATATTTCGCAGCCACCGCGTTAACTTGTCCCTTTAGAAGCAAAAGCAGCGACAAGTTAACAACATTAAACGAGAACGTGGCAAATAAGTGTATGGCGTCCCAGCCAGATCCACACAAAACCGCCAAGTCAGGAGCAGGCGAAGGAGGAGGTCTAACCGCACAGAAGTGGGGTTTCTAAGAGAGTGCTGGCCACCTCTGCAGCTGATGGGTGTCCTGCGGCTTCCTTTCACATCCTCATCCGCATCCGCATCCGCACATCAGATACGCACACACGTCCTTGTCTGTTTGGCAAATGCCAGTTTTTAGCTCTTCGGTTTCAAATTAATCAGCGGCGCTTAAGTGGCTGCCGGGCGACATCGTCGCCATCATGATTTTCGCACTGCTGCAAAGTTTTTTAATGAATGCCGTTCATTAAAATTGATTGTTGTTTGGCGGGGCCCAATACTTGGCCCCTTTTTTACCCCTGTTTTGGCCGGAACGCCCGATGCCCGACCACCGAGGGATGGCCCAAAGTCGATGAGTTGGCAGAATGCGGAAGGTCTGCTAAAACGCATGCTATTTGCTGAATTGCCAATTAACTGGCAATTTCGGCTAAACCGAACCAAGGCCCCCAAATTTTCCTCTACCTCCCCAAAACCGAACCAAAGCAATTGATTTTTTTTCGTCTGTCGGCCTTTATTTCTGCCCGATGACTGCACAACATTTTTGGTATAAAATTAATTTTTGACGGGAGATTGGGAACCAGAAATCTGCTCTCGAGTTTTGATTTTGATATAATTGAGTCTGTTGCAGACAGTTTGAAATTCTCTACAAATTGTGCTGGGGAATACCACGCAAATCGGTGGTTTAGATATGATAGATGTGACAGTTGAGGGAATTCCGATTTGGCTTTGACCCCGAAAAGCAGTCTGTTAGAAATGCCGTTTAAACTTAAGGTGAAACACTTAACTCGGAGCCTGGGAAGATGGATTTGTCTTGTTAAAACAGAACCGAAACGCAATCAAGCGACGAAATCGATATGTCTCGAGGTCAACTTGCTGTGTTTATATTTGTATCAAATAGAAAATGAACAACAAATTTATAAATAGTCTACAAAGGAATTCTTTTAAAAGCTTCGACTTTAAAGAAGTTACGAAGCAGTTTAAACTAAAAAAGTATTCGTTGTTACAATGGAATGATAACCAATATGGCAGGCATGCAAAGTGGAATGACAGGATATGCATACGTTAAATTGCAGAAAAAAAGGTACAGGATCTGGGGTCCGGAATAACGGAATGCCTGAATTTGTGCTCCAATTAAAACGGCGAATGTAGCGTAAAATCATTTCGGGTTTGACAACTTGTACGTCAATTTAATTGGTGCGAGCTCTTGATGGCCCAAAAGGTGGCACAGGCACAGGCAGTGGCACTGGGAGTGGCAGCTGGCATTGAGGTCCTGGCGTATGCATAGCTGAAATCAGCAATCATTTCATCTATGCCTATTTTTTTTTTGCTTTTCAGGATGGATTCCCGCTCCCCCTTGACCCAACCAATCTGGCACTGACAAGGGAGGCAAAGCCACGGCAACGCTTTCGGAAAAAAAGTAGGAAAATGGTTCGGGAGCTGGGGGAAAATGGGAAGTGCGAAGTGAGGTTCGGGGCTTGGGGGCGGCGTAATTGACAAAAGGTTTCATGCATTCAATGCCAGTGCCAGGCTCGTTGTCGTCCTCTGACAAATACAGCGCCCGACTGACGGCTCGACACTCCCGGTCGAAGGACCAGAAGGACATAGCCGCTGGCAGCCCACACACACTTGCACACTCGCACAATCAACGCAATCGACACGCAAAAATTGAAGAGAGGGAGCCGCGCTGAAAAGATCAAAGCCGTTCAATTGTCAGTGACGACAGCCGGAGAGGCTCCTCGTATTTTGGGAGGGGCCCATCCTCCGGGGGCCCTCGGCCCTCTTTTCGGGACGGATGGCGATGGTGTGATTTGTCAAAGCAACGCCCTCGAGGCAGCCACATCCCACCCAAGTGTTTAGCTCAACTTTCACCGAAAATAAAACAGATGCCAGAAATTTGCTTAGTTTGCATTTCCACACGAAACTGTTGATTAACGTGCATGGCGGGATGCAGAACTACGGGGGGAGTGGCTTCCAATCAGGGAAAATGAGAGTGAAAACGAAATCAACGGGAATCGAGTGTGTTTTATTTTTGATTCACACATGCCACAAGTCATCAAGTTGTTTAAAATGTCAATTTAAAAGCAATCCTTTGACCCTTTTCCCCCTTTCTTATTCGGCAACGTGGCGTATGAGTAATATTTGTATGTAAAATAAAGAATGTAAAGTTTTTAGCCATTTTAAATAAATTTCATCGGATTAACTAGTATATTTGGTTTAAATATGAGCAATATGTATGAATATATAAAAAATATAAAATAAAAGAAATTATAATAGTGTATAAAATAGAATATAACGTTTTTAGTCATGTTTAAATACATTTTATCGGATTAACAATTAAGTTTGTCTTTAATATGACCAATATGAAAGGGTAAATGGAAATTCGACCTAATGACGAGTCCTGCTGATAAGGCAGACCTTTGAAGTAAGGTAGACCTTTGACCCTTTTCCCCATTTCCTACGTGTCAACGTGGCGTATGAATAATATTTGTCTCCAAAATAAAGAATGTAATTTTTTAGCCAGTTTTAAATAAATTTCATCGGATTAACAAGTATATTTGGCTTAAATATGAGCAATATGTATGAATATGAAAGGGTAAATTGAAATTCGACCTAATTATGAGTCCTGCCGATCAGGCAGGCCTTTGAAGTAAGGTCGTAATATCAGTCCAGAAAAATTTGTTAGTAAAAGTCGCACATAGTCAACTAAATTTCCTACCCAGGCTTGTGATCTCTGACGGGTTTCAGGTGAGGCAGACATCAGCTGAGATCTTAACCCAGAGTTAGCTAAACCCACACCATTCTCAGTCAGCCAGAATCAAAGATGTGTAGCCCCTGCTGTGGACCTTGCTGCTCGCCATGCTGCAATGACTGCTGCAGCCCCTGCTGCAGTCCCTGCTGTAGTCCCTGCTGCAGTCCTTGCTGCAGTCCCTGCTGCGGTCCCTGCTGCGGTCCATGCTGCGGTCCCTGCTGCGGCCCTTGCTGCGGTCCGTGTTGCGGCCCCTGTTGCGGTCCCTGCTGCTGCGGTCCATGCAATAAGTGCTGCGGACCCTGCTGCGGCCCGTGCTGCGGCCCCTGCTGTAGCCCCTGCTGCAATCCCTGCTGCGGCCCATGTTGCAGCCCTTGTTGCACACCCTGCTGCAGCCCGTGTTGCAGTCCTTGCTGCAACCCCTGCTGCAGCCCGTGTGGTGGGCCCAAGTGCAAGTGATCCGCGCAACCAAGATGGGATCGGAAAGAGCAAACCCGAGGTAGGAGGCGAACACAAACGTCACCACAAGTTCGCAGTACCCGTTAGAGAAGCATCCTAGCCCAAATGTAGACACCAACTGAGGTAATCAAATACAAGAAAATTGGACAGCAATCCCAGGTTTTCATATTCAGCGGTCTAAAGTCGAAGGGAAGCTGGAACTGGAACCAACTGGCCCCGGGGCCATGTTAATGAAGACACAGATTAGGCTGTGGCCCAGCAAAAACTTGGTCATTCCGGTTATGTCAGTAAGGGCGCTGGGTAAACTTTTTGGCCTCTACCCAAAAATTAATTAAAATATCAGTTTTAAGTCACATGACACGGGCACAAGAACACACAAGAAATTAAATAACAAGCCAAGTTAAGTCAACTTCAGGGCAATTAAATAATCTCGTACACTTACGACGAGTAATTAAAATTCCGACAAAAGTTGTCTGCCAATTTTATGGAATGAAATTATCGTTTTAATACGCTTTCTGAGCTTAGTCTCCATTAGTTTATTTATTGTTAAAATATTTAAGCCAGTATAATCGAAATATTCTCGTGATACACTTTTAAGCTTAAAGAGCATAATTTATTCGATGCGAGTTACTTATTTTTAAAACCGATTTCCCCCACCGGAACTTATTTACAGACAGATGGCGGCAGATGACACAACTTTGCATACTTTAATTAAACATTTTACAACACATTCGTGCGGGCAAAGAGGATTCTCGTTAAATGTCTCAGAACGTGGCCTGCAGTCCTGGGCCAGGAGTAAAAATAACTTGTGACATGCTGCTGCTGCTGTTGCGGCAGATGTTTAATCATTTCACTTGAAATACTTCCACGCCCGGCGGCCATTGCTTTCCCTCTCTCTTTTCCGTAGTTTTCTGGTCGTTGTGAACTTAATTAGGGTTAATTAATACTAGAAAAACACACTCGCACATATTGTCAGCAGGCAAATTGGTATGCCCAGGAAATATCCTTAAGCCCAGGGCTGGGGATGAGGTGACCGTAAAGGAGCCTAGTCCCTCCACAGGAAATGAGTTTCCAAAGGCCGGAAGGCAGTAATTAAGGGACTCGCTTTGTGTGGACTGTTAATTGGTCTGGGAATCGACGAGGCGACGACTTTACGATATTTCATAAATTGCAATTTTACGATGCCCCCAAAATTGAAACCAAATTGCAGGCTCAACCTTGAAATTTGCATATCCTGTGTGTCCTTCCCGATCTTAATACATCTCCAGTATCCCGACCCCCGTCCCTCTCCGTCTGCTTCTATGTACTTTGTGAGTGTCGACGTCAAGCTACAAGAAATCCAATTTGGCCACGCCCACGAGATGGAACAGGGGCAACCTGGTCTTCTCTCGCACCCAATAAAGCAAAGGAAAAAATGGACTTTGGCAAATTTGTTTTTAGCCAGTTCCATGCCGCCTTTTGATGAGCACCCAAGGAAATTGGTGCCGGTGCTTCATTCAGTATGCACGTAAATATTTTCCCACAGATGACTCCGGATTTCGGGGTGGTGCTATCATCTTTGACCTGGGCTTATGCGGAATTAATACGGCTTCAAGGATGCATCCCTGTGCAATGGCTGCATTAAAATCGGATTGAGAGAACAAAGATCATATGAAACTAGCAAAATCAATGCATTTTTTAGATTGCATTTAGTGGAAGAGCTGTCAAGCTGTCAGTAAATATTTGAAATGCAACCATTTCCGCAGCTCGTGCAGTTTTTAATTATGCTTCAAATAAACATGACTACCGATATTTGGTCTGCCGCTGCCATAATATTTAGCCAGTCGCTCTGATTCTGACGGCGCTGCACTATGCTCTTATTTTATACATATGGCACATATAAATATTTGCGTTAAAATGGAAAAACCACAGGCCCAACATCATTTCAAATACATTCACTAACTAACACTGATATGTTGGCAAAAAGCCGACAGGCATTAGATGTCGCTTAATAAACCCTAATAGTCTGTGGTATCGTGCCGGAGTGTCTATCAAAAACATACTTTTTGGACCGCCCGCCTTCCGTTGTTCTATTTCCCCATTCGGCCCATCTATCAATTATGCACCGAGGTTTGTTCGCTTTTATATTATATTATTTGTAGTAAAGCGAAAACTGTCAGGAATGACCGCAAATGTAAGCGGCCCCGGCTGGCGGAAAATGTGTTTTTTTGTGGCCGTTTCAGTTGCATTTATCGGTTTGACATTTTCACTGTGTGTTAGCTCCCCATCAGCATTTCAGAATTTTCATAAAGCATCGTTTTTTATGGAAATAATTGAAATTTTCTGACAGCTTTGAAATGAAAACTAATATTTACCCTCTAAAGAAATTCAGTTCAATGACGGCTAAAAGCTTTTGACATTTCACCCGTTAGCTAATTGATTTGTGCTCTTAACAGATCATTCTGACGCGGCTAATGAGCTGTGTGGCCTTTGCAAACAATAAAATGTTATTTAACAACAATTCGCAGATACCACTAGTCATTGAAAATAATTAGAATAACATGGGAGCTCTGATTTGAATGGCAGCTCTGGTAAAAAATGGCTTTGTTAGAACGTCTAAATTGATGGCTGTCAGAAACAAAGATTTTATCAAATTTTTTTTTCATCAAGTTCTAAATATATTTATGCTTTAGCAAAATATTAACATTTACTTTAAGCTACCTACAAGCAATTAAATGCAAAATAGTTGCACAAGAATATAAATCATATCACATTTAAATTCATCTATATTTCATACCACAGCAAACTTTTAGCGATAAACTGGTTTTATTTATTGAACTAAAAATGAGAAGCTTGTATTTTACGGAACAATAAACACATAATTACCATCCAAAATGTTGTATCATTTATTGCCGAAAATAAAACGAATTATAAATACATAATGCAAACGAAAAAAGATGCAAAATATTTGCCGTAAATGTATTATAATTTCCGTTTTAACTTGCAATTAGTGACATTAAAAAATTACACATGTATGTTAGATGGCAAGAGCTAATTCGCTGGCAAAAGAGCATTTTCAATTTGTTAAGCGAAATCCCGTATAAAATATAGCATCGGAGTGTTCCGGTATTCAGTGGGACATAATTAATGTAATGTAATACCCGTATGTGGACCGAGTTCGGATGGAGTCATTACAGGTACTGCATGTACACACAGAACATATAAGCACGCATCTGCGGATGTGGCTATATAAATTCCAGGGGGAGGAGCGGTGGCATATGGGTCGTGAAACAGCTTGATATCTTTACTACGCTCTCTACCTGTGGCTATGGTTCATCCATCATTAGTTGGACACAAAAAAGAAGGATTTTATGATGTGGTAATGGCGGCATAAAGGACTCAACCGGAGCGAGTGTAGAGTGTGCGTGTGTGAGTGTGGGTGGTTGGGCGCATGGTGGTATTTTTTATGTTTTATGCCTTTTGAGCAAACAAGTTGGCGTATTTTTGAGCTAAGCTCGCAGACATAAACTGTCGGCCCGCCCACAAACTAAGCCACAACTTCCGCAACGTGTCATTCGAGCCACCCACATCATTACGACCACTCCACACTCTGGATACCGCTCTCTCCCCTGGAGGAGACCAAGGAGACCCCCTCACACACACGTTCTGGGCCAGTGGCCGTACGTGCTAAGTTGTTATGGCGCTGCTCTACGTAACTCTCTGCTCAGTCGCATAACTTAGTTTTTCCACGCTTAATACAGTTTTACGGGCGCTGCCTTTCCCCGCCAGCTGGCCTCGCCCATGGAAATTCTTTAAAACGCATAAAAATTCCGACACGTCGTAACCTCAGTGCTTTTAACAGCATCTCCCTGCTCATCTCGAATCAGAGAGCCAGAGGACTAGAGCCAGGACCAAATGCAGAGGCCCCCTACTATATACTCGTACCCGAACCCAGAGTCAGCAATCAACTGCACTTCCCAGGGACTCTCGCTTTGTTGCAAGTCATGCACATCAAGTGAAGTTGCTGCCTCTGGTTGTTCTTCGTTTACCTGGGATCTCTAAGAGCGTACAAGGGTATACTAGATTTGAGAAGGTTTAGGAAAAGCCACCAACAGAACAGCCTGAGACCAAAGGCAGTGGACTAAACTATTCATAAGTGCCAGGGGAATGATATTAGGCAGCTTTAAGTCACACGTTATTCTTGCTACAAATGTCTGCTTCTATAGTAAAACTAACAAACATCAATACATAATATTTATTAAATTAAAAATGTATAGAATTAACAGGTATCTAATAGTCGGTCATACTGATTATAGCGTTCTAACTTGTTGTTGTCTAGCGGACGCGGTTGCCCCGTCTGTTCCGCTGCAGTTAACCTGCAAAGTAGCGCAATTTGTTGATAGCAGGTGAAATTTCATTTGCGCGCACACTCTTTATATACATTTTGTTCCACGGTTTTCTCGTTTTCTTTTTTTTTTTTTTGTGTGTGATGCCGTCTAATGATGTTGCCAGGAGGTTGCAGCGGCCGAGGACGAGGGGAAAAATAAGATGCATGTGGAAAATGTGGCGCATCCTAAACACGTTTTGCATGAATAATAAACGTATTTGTTTTTTCGGTGTCACAGTTTGTTTGAATGAGGTGGGAGCGAAAATGTTGCTAAATTAAATTTTAAATTGAATTGCTGTCGAGGGAGCGATAAAAACGATATACAATTTCTTTGCATACTGAGAGGGTGAGGCGGAAGAAAGATTAGTAAGCTGATCAGATATCAAATTTAATTGCCTTTAAATAATCCCTTAATATTTTAAAGCTACCTCTATGCCAACAATAAAATATTATATTCAATATCACTAAAGGGAGTCGATGACTCACATAATATTTATTTTCACAAGTGTTCCAAATCAACAAAACATTCAAGTACTATTTTATTAAAATCCTTTTTAAGTCACTCTGAAATTGAATTATATCCCAAAAGACTCGGATATTTGAGTAGGCCAAGATTTAATTTCAACATGAATTCACAACAAAATTCAATAGACTCATGCCCACAAAACTAACCGGATCGTATCGAGTTTTGGGCAATTTTAAACATTTGAATTTCCGGCCGGACAAGACCCCTCGTTGCCATTTGAAGTGGAAGCCAACTGGCGTTGACATTAATATCACTTTACCTCAACCTGTCCAATTTACCAATAAAACTCTTGAATCTCGGCCGGGCCCAGAGTGCTTTAAACTGCAATGGCAATGGCCCAGGTAGAAGCGACTGAGTATTTGCGTGTGTTTGTTTGTGCGGCTCGTGCCTTTTAACTTTTGCATAAAAACAACGAACGCAGCCGGCAGCAGTTAGTGGATGGATGGATGGATGCAGGATGCAGGATGAGGCCAGATCCAAGGATGCAAGGATGCAAAGGATGCAACTTTCAGCTGCTAAACGAAAATATAAAACACTTAACTCGACTGCAGGGGCGACAATACCCATCCCCGCGGCCAGATCCTTCTCCATGCGACACATTCAGCTGCACCCGGCAATTTGATGGTCCTGTGCCCAGGACACCCACTGCCCTCTGGGCCGGGCCTGGCCTGGGCTGTGCTGCGCTGTGCTGGGTTGGCCAAACAAACTCAGACACAGACACAGCCAACGCCTGGCTGCAAATTTGGGTCACTTTTTGGCAGCCAACAACAGTGAACCGGAAGTGCAGAAAATTTGGCCTAAATATAACATTTATATGTGCGCAGGAGCTAGCTGGCGTTAAGTTTTACGAACTTGAATACGATTACGATTATGGCAGCACTCTAATGAAAAAATTACCCTAATGAGTTTCTTTCTGCTTAGACTAAGGAGTTGGCAAAGAAAATTGAATGCAAGACACACAACATTGAATGTTAAGTGTCTAAAGATTGCAAAGATAGAAGGATTCGAAGCCTTTGGATAGGAATCCAAGAAATATTTCTTTAAATATTAAACCATTACTATAATTATCTACAATAATTAAATTAGTATACCATTTTTGTACTTTTCGGTAGCAAATAGATTGGTCCCAATGTGCAGCCTCGAGGGGCATTGAAAGCGCGGCTTACAATGACCAACCGCCAGCGGAGGGCGGTGTGAAAGGACTTCACGTGGCTTTAATAAATAACAGCTGAAGTTTAAATTGCCGTTAGCATAAATTATGAGCAGTTAGAGACGTTGCCTGCATTCAGTGAGCGACGCCTTTTTGGCTGCGAAACTTCCTTTCCTTTCCTTCTCCAAACCCGTTTCCCGTTCCTTTGGCCCTCGTCCTTCGTAGCTGTTTTGGCAGCATCCTTTTGACTGGCTGGAGGAACTAGTGCCACTCTTTATGCATTGGGGTGTGCATAAATACATATATATTTTGGGGCTAGCCAAAAATAAAAAAAAAGAAACAGGACGAAAAGTTAGCGGCGCAAAGTGAGATTTCAATTTGGCTGGCTCGCGTTTTATGGCGGGGAGGAAACATTGCCCGAACTCATAAAGCATTTCCGGCACTCATGAATCGGTTGGGGCCCTCGAGGCTTTTGTCCCCCTGCAGCTCCTAGGACTCGCAGAGTAGAGTCCCCCCCAATATTTTGATGTTTGGAGCTAAAGTTGTTTGCCTTTCTTTTCGACCCAAAAGAAAGCCGAAAGCCTTAGAAAATGGAACGCCGTCTGGCGGCTTCCTGTTTCCTGCATCCTCGGTCTGCCATTATACCCACCTTCGGGAATACACGTAAAAAATTTCAGTACACAGATTACCATAAGACAAGGTTTTAAAACCTGTTTTTTCCCTCGTTATCTCAAGCTCTTACATATTATTTATCAGGACATTAATTAATCGATAAATATATAGTTCTAATCATAAAAAATATTTGCTTTCAGTGCAGATGAAAGCTCCGTCTCCAGCTGGGGGAGCTCATTCGCTGCATACTTGCCGCTTTCCCGGTTTTGTCTCACTTTCCCAGCGGCGAGTACCCATTACATTTCCCTCGCAATTGTTTGGCAGCGAATAAAGGAAGGCCGAGCCGGAGTACCCTAGCCACATCCACATCCACATCCTTAGATGTGGATGTGGATGTGGATGTGGCTATAGCTGGAGCAGCAGTCCAAAGTGGGTTTGTTTGTTGTGGATTCGTGGGGAAGCGAGTGGTTCCATGGATTCCATGGTATGCAACGACCATGACAGGGCACATGGCCCAGCATGGGTTACGGCATCCGAGTCAAGGGATAACTGGCATACTTGGGTGTGTGCATTCCGCCAAAAACATGTGAATGCCAAGTATTCAAAGCAAGGACAACGGGGCCTGCCAGTATGAATATCAGCCATCTATCATTCAACGCTTAAAGCCCGACAGCACACAATCGAGCGAATGGCAAACACTTAATTTAATGAATACTGAACCAGTTATTCTATCAACGAGATTTACTTGAATGCCAGAGTAGAGACCTAAATGGAATCGAACACGGATTCGATGCATCCACCCCGCAATCAACATACAAATATACCGAACACAATGTCAAATGCCTGACAGCAGCCGGAATCAGAGCAAAACGGTATACAAAATAGAGCATAATCGGAGATTGTGATACCCTAAGCTAGGAGGATTACCAAGTGGATTTGGAAACCTATTGCAAAGTTCTTTCTGTGAAATATTGGTTAATTTATTTCTAATTCATATATAGAATTTTATACTTTTAGTGTAAAATGTAAGAGCTTTAAATTTATGTTTAAGCCATGTTAACAAGTACATTTTAAATAATTTTTTAAATATTTGGTAAATATCCTGACAAACAAACCCTAGGTAACCTTAGTAAGAGCATTCAAGGAAAAAATGTAAATCTGGCGATGGTTTTTGTTTCAATTGCAATCATCGGCAGGAACAGTGGCACAATAAATATAACAATTGAAACGGCAAATACTCCGAATAGGAATCTGTATATATCTATGTATGCACGAAATGAAAATCTCTAATAAAAAAGGACATTTCCATTACTGCGATTAAATCGTCAGGACAAAGCACATACAACCACGGACACCCACTGCGATAGACAGGACGGAGGATATACATAGATAGCGAATAGGAGGATATAGAGGTGGAAAGCAATTCTGCGGCGGTCCTTGGCAAACTGCAAGGATAGGTCCTATGATGGGATTTCAGTTGCCTGCCATTATTTCAATTGTTGTTGTTTATATTCATTGGATTCCCTGCCCTGTGTGCCACCCCACCCCTTTAACTCCCCCCCCCATTATTATGAGCGTTTTATGTGCATTGCACAATCGGGCCTGAAGGGTGACCATAAAATATTTCCCCGCCAGTGCCTCCGTTAGGACGATATCAATTTTTACGGCTGACAATATTAGCCCGACATAATTATCAATCTTTATGGGCCGAACTGAAATGGTCAACAATAAAATGCCAAACGTAGATCGGCGATAACGAATGTCCTCGGCCGCAGAAAGGATGTGCTCCTTGTGCCGAAAATGCCGTAACACATGTGTGTGTGCACGTGCTGATAAAATTAGCAATTCGAATCCGCTTGTGGGACTGGTGTGGTTTTTGGGGCGCGGAAGGAAACCCGATATTACCAGCAGATATATTCATGTCGACTGCTGTCGGGCGTAAAGTCACCGCGCAGCCACCAGGGCGGATGAGTGTTGCTGGTGGTGCTGCATCCAGGCGGTACTTTGGCTGTTTGCGGTCTATCCACCTCCTGGTTAGGACCCAAAACTCCCACACGCTCACGCCCACGTCCATGCCCACCGCCCACACTGCGCGTGTCGAAGCATCTCAGTCGGAAAATGGGTGACAATTCATGACGGGGCATGAGCAGTGCGCGCAATTTGCATACACGGTCGGTTCGTTTCGATGGTCCAATGGTTGGATGCCTGCTGGCTTTCCCAACTCTCTCTATATACATTTTAGTATTGCATTTTGCCCGGTAATTGCAGGGTACAAGGGTATATTGGGCAGCAGCAGAAAAAAATTGTATGTACGAATCAGAGGAAAAGGTACTACATAGTTGTGATCCTTTCCATGAGCCACAAAATTCCCTACCGAATTGGGCAGGCAGTTTTTGGCTTTGACTTGACTGCACTTAGCCCCATAGCTTCCACCGACTGTCCCCTTCATTCTGGTGGCACATTGTGCTGGAAATTCCCGTTTCTATGCATTTTCCACACCGAAAACTGCCTGGGGAAAAAATGCTGCTAAAATGGCAAACGCTCACACACATTTTAAATGCAAATGACACCCAATGGAGGGCAGATAGCTAAAGAGATGTAGGGATATGGCGGGTGTCCTTGTGGCTTGGAAGTCTGCCGATTAAAACTGAAATTAGTTTCTCCTCTAATAAGCCAATCCAGCTGGGGTGAAATCAGTTAGTGACAGAATGAATTTCAATTACGACGGGCTGAAAGTCAAAAGCATTCCAGCTTAAAGGCGATGTGCCTTAAATTTAAGCTTACATTTACCATTTAATTTTGGGAATCTGTTAGATACCATTTCACGTTTGATTTCACTGAATTTACAGATAATTTTTAGAACATTTTCACCGAGAGACATTTTCACTAGATTGTATTCTTAAGCTTCCTGTTCTTCCTGCGCATATGCCTCTTCCACTTCCTCCAGTATTTCTGGATCTTGGAAGCGGCGCGATTCATGGCGAAGACGATGATGCGCTGCTGTCGCCGTCTGTTCTCCTCCTCTTCGCGCTTCACCACGACTTCCTTGTAGACCCGCTCTACCCTCCGGAACCCGACCATAAAGTCATCCAGCTTCTTCTTGGCCGCCTTGTGCTGTTCGCCTATCTCAATTTTCTCGATCATCTTATCGCCAATGACGTGATCGTACTTTTTGATTAGCGCCTGCACCTGTAAGACCAACTTGTTCCTGGGTGACAGAGCGGACTTGCTTTGAACAAATTGCGGTTGAATTATGCCATTTAACTCACTTTTCCTCACGCAATGCCTCTTCCCGCTTCAAGTAGGCCCTGGTCGACGTTTCGTATCTATTTTTGGTCGCCTCCAACTTCTCCTCCAGTTCAGCCTGCCGCTCAAGGCTTACCTTTCTCTTTGCACGAACCATGCGGTTGATACGATCGCTGAGGGAGAAGAGGTGAGGATTAAGGACTCATCCAGTTCACTTGAAGGACTCACATTTCCTTCTGAATACGCTGGTTCTTCTCGCGCATCTTCTTCTCGAGCATTTCCTCGCAGGTCTGAAGATGGGCCTCCTTAGCTTCCACGCGCTGCTTAAGGTCCAGCTTCTGCAAGCGGATTTTCTCTCTCAGCTCCGCCACTTGCACCTTGACCTTCTCATTCTCCTTGTACATTGCGTAGAGTTGGCGCTCTTGGGCCATCGCCTCTGTAGATGTCCGGTAGAGTCGGTCTTTAGCTAGTTCGTAGAGCATATGAAATGCCTTCAGCAGCATACTCTCCTCATTGCTCAGGTGGTTGTAGTAGCGGGGGAACAGTGCGTGCATTTCATTGTTGCGTTGGAAGAAGTCGATGATCTGAATCATCCCGTGGTCCGCCAGCGGCGGCCGCTTCTCTCGCAATATGAACACTCGACGCCGCAGGAAGGAGGACACCAGACGGACGGCGGGCTCATATTTTGTACCTTGAAGGACCTTGGCCATATGAGCTGGATGCTCCAACAATTTGGGCAGAATCAGCGATATCTTGACCCGCTCAATAGCCTCTGCCAGGACACCCATTACGCAGCCAATTTGCACCAAGCGGACATTGGAAAATTCTGCTCGAGAACAGGATTAACTATTACCAGGATTATTAAGCAGACCTTTGTTTTGGGATTTGTAAATCCCAAGAAGACCCAAGAACTATGCCTTAAATTTGGCATGAAAAAGCTGATCCCTCTGGATTATCTCACCATGCTGGGCCAACTTGATGTTCTGCATCTTCTCCGGCGACATCGCCTTGCCGCGCATCATCTCTGTCATACTCATCTTGACGTTTTTTGTTGCACAACGGGTTTCATATGAAGAATTTATTCATTTATTTATGAAATAATTTTTTGTTTATTTTTATATTTGATTTTAGCGTTGTGGAAGCAGCATTTGTATGTGTTGTTTGGTGTTTAGTTTTTATTTGAATTTCAACAGTTTATGTTTTCTATTTGTTTTTATTTGTTAGCAGCCACTGGTGCTGCTTGTGTCAATGTGAATTTGGGGTTTTTTTAGTTGGATAGAACTCAGAGATGCAGTTTGATGGAAGTTGGCACGCCTGCCCTGATCCCCTGAACGATGACGACAATTTATGTACACAAATTCCCATATTTGCAAAGCGAGCCCTGGGCACTTCTACATACTATATCTGCCACCGGATTGCGCTCCGCTGGGCTGCAAACTTGCTCAAGTGGAAGCTCTTGTTTGGACCCGAATCAAGTTGACATTACATGGTGTGTCCCAGTACTTCAGCGATTCAGTCGCGGACTGCAGACAGCGGACTGCGGACAAAGTTTCTAAACAAATGCCCCGGAATTTGTGACTACAAATGCCGCGCTTCCTGCTCGATGTTAGATGCGCTTTTTCACTTTTTTCCAGACTGTTTTTTTTTTTTTTTTTTTTGTACCCCCTGTTTTGCTCTGTTTGCCCTACTCTGTTCCGCTGTGTTGCCAAAAATTTATGGCTAACAATATTTTTGCTTGGCAAAAGACGCACACAGCTCACAGCAAATGGCAAACAACTTGCAGCGAGGCACCTAAATAAACAAATGCGTGGGGAGGGATTTTCTTTTTTTTTTTGTGTGAGAGGTGGTTCCCAGGGGAGTTTTCCGAGGGGAGAAGGGGAGCTATCTGTGGGCGGGAGCATTGCATGGGCGTAATTTGTATGCACAATGCGAACAGCCTCCGTCTCCGCCCGTGAATCCGAATCGAGCAGCATGCGCGAGTGAACTCTTTCGCTTTTATCTTTATTCCCCATGTTCTTTGTGTGTTTGGATACACTCTTTGAATGGGGTACTTCTGGCTAATAAAGAGATTTGTAAATCTTAAGATTATCCTAGTGCAAATATTCAAATAGATAAATAAATAAAAATGATAATTAATATTATTATACATTCTTCAATTTCAAAATTCATTTGCTTTGACATGGTATGATTTATTTGAAAATATTTATAATATTCAATGTATTTGTCTTTGCTAAAAATAAAAAATAATTTAAATTTCGCATTATAGACAATAAAATTGAATATCCCCATACTTTGCTTTTATTTTAAGTAAAAATCTGTTTCCATAAAAACTTTATTTGCATTTCTGATAATAACTTATTGATATGCCTCGAATTTTATTCCGATTTTTTCTGATCGGAATGGAGTGTGCAGTGTACACCAATTTCGTTGCCAGGCCCCTCTGATTTTTTTCGGTCACATTTTTTGCCCCCCATTCCCTGTTGTGGCTCCTGTTCCTGTGCGCTTATTGCATTTGTCTCGATTCGTTTGGCTCGCACAAAAACAAATTGCCGGAAGTATGCAAATGTATGATGCAGCTTATCAGATATTGTTTGAGAGCCTGCACTCGTTGCTGGGGAGTGTCGCTGTGACAGGGAAACACGCTTTGTGGGCTGCGGGTGTGGCAGTGGGCGTTTTTTGTTTCCGGGGCGTGGCATGTGGCAGAGCGCTCATTTGCCTTGCAAAAGGCGCGGCGCCGCCAGTAAGCAACCGGCAAATAGCGACCAAGCGACGCCAAATAACTCTCAGAGACACTTGCACCCGAAATGCCGGGGAAAAGTATAGTATAGTCGGGAATTGAACTGTCAGCTGCAGCTGCAGGTTGCCGGAATCGAAATTGAATTATATTTGCACTTTATACTAAAGATCCATCAGATGACAGCAGCAGCGAATCGAGGGAGATAAAAATTAATTAAAATGTTGCACGAGGCACTTTTCTTTGAGGGGCAAATGGAAGAGCGCCAAGGGCGCTTACTTACTTAGATTGAAAATGGCAAAAATATTTCCAGGGTTTGACTTTTGGCCGCAAAGGAATTGGTGTTTACCATGCATACAAAAGAACCCAAAGATAATTGCTTTAAATATGGAATTAAATATATTTAATTGTAAACAAATTAATACCCACGTTGTCTCTGAGGAAATATTAAATTAAATTAAATTAAATTTTGTATACCTTTGCAAGTGTATAATAATTTTAGTCAGAAGCATGAAAAGTTGTGAAGGGGTCATTTCCGACCCTATAAATCACATATATTCTGGATCAATACCGAAAGCCAAATCGATCTATTCATGTCCAGGTCAAAAAATAAATTTTTGAAATTTTTTTAAAAATTCAAATTTTCATAAGGGGTTACATCATTAAAATTGTCAAAAACTGACAAAAAATTGAATTTCTCTAAAAATTAATTTTTTTATGCAGATTTAATAAGCTAATAAAAACAAAAATAGGAACGCTTTCCGAATTGAAATTAATGCTCTTTTGGCTTAGTAATGAGGTTTTTAAACTCTGATTTGTGGGAAAAATTGTAATATAAAAATACCATTAATTATCGAATGCGATTGTCTTAACTTAATTGCAAACTGCCAGTGTATTTAAAACTCGACTTCCCGAAGTTAGTTTTCTAAATTTTTTTTTAATTAAATAAGTATTTTGTATTTTATTCCTTATAAGCATTTGGTTTTTTTACTATCTTTGAGGAACTCCCTGAGAAGGGCGAAATAAATACATCGACGAGCAGCGCTCGATGTCATTTATCACCGACGAACTTTGTGACATTTATGCTCTGTGACAAGCAGGTCCAGAAGGACAATCACTGGAGCCTGGCTAGCAGTGGGCTCGACAAAGTTTCCTTTCGACAGATGACATATTTTCCTTCAGCTCTCCTACATGACTATTTGATATTTCCATATTTCCGTAGACACTCTGGTGGTCTTTCCCCCCAAAAAAAGAGAAAACACCCCCTATTGATAAATGATGCTGATGGATTTTTATTGCCCCAAGCTCTTGGGTTGGACAAGGGAAGATAGCTGGAGCTGCGGACTTGGCTGTGGGCCTTGGTCCACATGTATGACACGCTGTTGGCCGGCTGCTTATCAACGGTTTAGCGCGGCTTGTGTGCCTGACAGGTGAATAAAAGCAGCTGTCAACACTTTTTTATCCCTGTCTTTCCAAAGGTGTGTGAGTATGTGTGTGTGTGTGTGTGGGTGGAAGAGCAAAGAGTCCTGGCAAACAGAGAGTCCATTAATATTGATATAGAATATATTGATTTTACTTTTTGTTATTCCCCTGCCAAGGAGGAGCATATGAGGCAAAAGATTAATGCTGCTGCGAGGATGCCAAACAAGCATTTGACCAAGCTTTCTACTAGGTCTGGAAGCACCGAATCCTGGAAGCCGACAATTAGCTTTCGGCTATTTCTGGCCAAGTCGAGCACTTGCCAATGATTTGCCTGGCTGGTAAGCTTATTAAATATAAATTGCCTGGCCATCCATCAAAATGCTCCAAGGAAAAGCCGTATATTTGTCAGTGCAGAGGGGAGGGGGAAAGACGCAAGTCTGCAGGCGAATTGAGAAACAACTTCAATTCCAATTGGCCAAATCCGAATGCATTTTATGGCCACAAAATCAATTCAATGGCTCAACAAGATGCTCAGTTTATGTCGGCAGTCGGCAGTTGGCAGTTGGCAGTGAGGGGGGGCTGGGGGCTGTGGGCTGTGGGCGTGGCTGCTGCACTTCTCGCCTTCCGACGGTTGAAAATTTTATGTTTAATTTATTGATACACTCAGCTCGCAATAAAAATTGATGGCAAAAACACATTTACACACACCGGATGGTGGGAGGCGGGGGAAAAAGTGCGGGAAAAAGAGGGGTGGGGCGTTGGCCATAATTTTTCATTTCATTGTTTTGTTTCGTGGGAAAATACGCGGCGGATAAGCCCGAAACAAAAAGCTGGCAAAGTAGCGAGCAGCGAGCAGCAGGCAAAAAGGAGAGCAAAGAAAAACGAGAGAAAATTCTTTTCTATGCCAGAGAAATTCATGAAAATGCCTGACGGAACTGGAAGCGAATTTTTGTGATATTTATTTGCTGTGCCCGGGAAAAAGAGACGTGGAAAAAGAAACTCAGTTGGGAGAACTGCAATAAAACCAAACAGACAAAACAGACGGAAATGAAAGCGAAGAAATAATGTCCCCGGATTCAGTTCCAGTTTCGGATCCAAGCACGGCAAAAAAGGAAAGTGAAAAGTTGGCCAAAAGGAGCGAGAAACTAAAACCAAACCAAAACTGAACCAAGCTGAGGCGTAGCTCTGTTGATTTTACTTTTATTGCCATAATTTATATATGAACAGATCCGACGCCCAACGGGGCGTATACGCAACGCAGTTCTTAGCAACTGCACATTATGCGAAGGCCTTGATAGTGGCTAAGTGGCGGTCCATGGATTTATACCACTTTAAGGCAAATCGACTGAGCGGCCAGCTGCAAATCATTTTTAAATGCTTACAAATTTCCAGCACAATTTACAACTTAAATAAATTTACTGCAGGCAAGCAAGAAGCCCGGAAAAGTTATGAAAAATGTTGGCAAGCAGAAAGCAAAGCCCAGCAAATGAAGAATAAATCAATCTTACACTCAAAGTTGGGTGGAAGACCACAGCTCAGGGGGAGGGCTAGGGAAACCCAGAAAAGAGAGACTGAGAAAGAGAGAGGTCGGAAAATTCAATAAAGTTTAAGAATGCTGAAAAATACTAAAGCAAACCTAAGGCAACTGCAGTGTGCATGTAGCCAGAAAACTGCACTATTTCTGTAGTTAGCCAAGTTGGACATGAAATTTCACAGAACTCTTAATGGCTTCACTACTTTATTTTCAACGATTTTTCCCAGCACCTTCTCTTATTATTTTTTCTCTCTTGTTCTATTTTTTCCCTACCTGTACCATTGCCTGATCATTTACAATTCACCATTTTGCAGCACCAGTGAATTATGCTTTTTCATGTTTGCCTTTTCCCCAGGCTTACCTCGGGTTTATATTTCCCACTTTCCTCGCTGTTTCCGGGCATTCGCGGTCTATGGCCCATTTGTGTGTTTTGAGGCTTTTGGCGACGGCCGTAAGTACGCTAATAGCTTCTTATGACAGCAATGAGAAAAAATCATGCGAAAATTCAATTCCACGTATTTTCTTTTACCGCACAAGGAATAAAACATTTACATGGCCAGAACACTCCTATTTAGCCAAATAAGCCACTTTCCTATAGTTTCAACAGTGTTAGTCTGCTGTTCAAT